GAAAGTTCTGAATGTCGGAATGCAAGTCGTTTAACCTTAGATGAAAAAAGCAAAAATTGCAGAATCACGAATTATGTTTTAACGTGTGTATTCTTCCGGCATATTGGATTTTTGTGAAAGTACGTGGGTATATTTTTTACTGTAACGAAATAGTTCAAGTTTTGATTTACGATGATAATAAGAAGCGAACAGACTGGTTATTGGCGAAAGTAACCGAGATTTCAAATCTCGGGATGGACATTTAGTTAAGGTCAAGACTATAAGCTTGGAGAAGTTTTACGACCAACCAATCATTTGTATCCTTTGGAGATAACATCATCAGATGAATAGTCTAGATTTAGAAATGTGGCAAGCAGCTCTTCTGATGAACCAGAGACTTACTGCGATCCTGATATTCGTAATGACTTGCCTCAAGATCTTAAGAGCGAAAAGATTCCATCGATGACTACAAGAAGTGGTCGAATGGTAAAGCCTGTTCAAAGGTTACAGTTTTAAATTTGATTTTTCAGCAAATTTAAAGGTAGTAGTATGCTGAAACTTTCACCAACAACCACGTGATTTGCGCATGTGTGCAACAAAAACTAAATCAGAACTTTTTAGTTGAACTTTGAGAACTCGTGATGGACGTTTGAGTGAAACATGTAATCCTTATCTTTCTGTAGTGATGTTATTGTAATTAAATATCTCATTATCTTAGAAGCCTCCCTTTTTCTGTGAGTAGTGTAGTGTATAGATGTACTTAGGAAAAATACTCCCGGACATCCCTTTGGAGAAGAAAGAAGATCGACTAAAAGGAAAGCCCTTTTACCTTTTATTTTCTAAGAATTATACAGTATTTGTAAACAATGTTATAGCAATCTTTAACAAAGTTGAAATAAAACATTAAAGTTGAAATAAAACAGTTCAGACACCCCCATTACTATTATTCCACCTTCAAGATCATTTGCAGGTGAGATAACTAAATGTTCAGGAACCCTATGTAGTATATATGTGTTCATGTAACTCACACAAGACTTTAGGTCATAAATGCCATACACTTCAGTTATGGGTATTTTACACCAGGATAAAGAATTCCTCTTTGGGCACTTTTCAGTAATGCATCTGCCATGCATTTTAGTATGTGTTTGTGTGTCTTACGTCAGTGTGTACACAAACATGGTACTTTTCCATAATGCATACACACACCCATGCACATATGCACACACACATGCCAAAATGCACAAGTGCATAATAAAATGTACCCTTCTTTGTAACAATATTTATTTTTCACAAAACAAATTTAATTACAAAATGAACACATATTCTTACAAAAAAATTGCTACCAGAGCAGGACACTCTTAAAACATAACTAATTCTGATTGTGTTCCATCAACGGCGTCATATGGTTACACTTCGACAATGTTGCAATTTTTACAAGAGAAATATATATAGGATATAATTATCAATATATACAAATAAAAGAAATAAAATGCATAGCTTATGTTTAATTCCTACATAAATATGTTTGTAGGCAATCTCAGCTATCAGTGTTTAGAAAATATTCAACTCTTACAGTAGTCTCACAGTACTCTTAAAAATCTCTAAAATAAAATTATTTACTGGTTTTTATTTTTGCAGTTTTTTAGAATTGCATACTTGCCAACCTATGATACTAAAAAATCAGGAGATTTTTTTAAGAAATCAAGAGATTTTTCACAATGTTAAAAAGACTTTTTAAATGATAAAAATGTTTTTAATAATGTTTTTAATAATGAATTAACTATAAATAGTTACTAATTCTTAAATGCAAGCAACACAAAAATACCTTACACATAAAAAACATTCTTATTACTTGCAATCGTTTAAGAAAACAAACAAAAAAAAAAAAAAAAAAAAAAAAGACACTTTAATCAGTTTTTATACAAATATTACGAACAGTGGCAGATTTTGCTTTCGTTCATAATCTTGTTCATAGCAATTGCCACGTAGGCCTGCTTTCGCTAATAAAAGTTTTTCTAATGTGTCATCACTAATATTAGATCTAAATTTAGTCCTCGCTTTCACAACAACACTGAAAATCCTCTCACACTCTGCATTACTATGGTGAACTTTCAAGATGGCCAATATAATTCTAGACAGTTCACTATATTTTAAAATTCCATCAGCACCTTTCAGTTTTTCCAATTAAACTTCACTGGGTGTCAATCCTATCTGATTTTATAACTTCATGCAAGTTTTCTATTTGTAAACTTCAAAATTGCGACTGCAATATTTATCAGTGGCAAAATCAATATCATCATCTCTCATGATTAAATGAAGTAACACAGGAAATCTGTTCAAAAAGTACCTTATATCAGAAAAAGATGCATTTGCTAGAGCAGAAACATCAGCAATTTTAGCATGCAAAATCACTTCATCGTTGACTGGAAATTTATGTAGTATGTAATCACATACTCGACAGAAGTAACTTTTAACATGAAGATAAAACTTATTTTTGTCTTCTGAAAGTTCTTCCACTACTTTTGTAGTTGCAGCTCCTATTACCAAATCTTCATCTTTCTTCTGATTTTCCATTTCACCATAAATCACATCACATATAGAATTACAAGACAAAACACAAACTGGTTTTACAAACTTTGATAAAATGTCTTTAAACAGATCATAAATCATTGATTGCTGAACATGAATTTAATGGAATTCTGCTTTGTAGAACTGTGTTAAGAACATCGAATGATGGCAAAATGAATTGTAAAAAAAAGCAAAAAGCTTTGTTAAGGTCCAAAGAAAAAAACATAAATATTCGTTCTTCAAAAGATAAACTTACAGTAATCGGAAAATGTTTCGTGTGTGGAGTATTTTTTTTTTATTTTATTTTGAGAGAAATTTGTATCAGTTTTACGCTTATATTTTGCAGTATTATTTTGAGAACTGCCAGTTGAATTGCTGAATGATGCAGAAATTATTTTTCTCAAACCTATTTTTAACAATGGAAGTAGTAACTACATCTTCGTTTACTTTACGTATTTTATAACTTTCAATAGAGACTTTTATCTTAACTCTTGAAGCATTTACTTCTTCTTTAAAAAATGCAAGAAATGGGTTCCATTGATCGAGGACTCTAGATAAGCATTTCTTTAAAGACAGGCAGCGTGTAAACCCGTTTCAAAATTTTTCTCATTTCAGTATTATGCAGCTGTTGGAGCTGTTTAAATTTTTCATTCTTTTTAGAACTCCTTTCAAGATAATAATAACTACTATCAACAATGTGTTCATCTACATTTATTGATAAAGAAGCTGTCCCTTTTTCAGCTGCTAAAGAGGTGACAGGTGCACCTCATAATCTGCAAATCTGAATTTTCCTTTCTTACGATGCTTGCAACACCAGTCTTCAAGCCTACCATTACTGGTGCATTATCGCCACCAAGTGCCAGAGGAACTGCATTTTCTTTTAAAGTTTTAATAATTAGCTGCGCTATATTAAAGCCTGTCGAATGTCCTTCTAAAGTGGGGACAGAAAGTAAACTACACTCATTTTCTGAAGACTCTGGATTGAAAAAAGAAACAACAATTGGATACAGTTTTGAATCGGTATTATTGCTTCCATCGGTAGACAGGCAGAACGGAGCTGTTCTAATGCAATCAATAACTGAAGATTTATTTTTCAAACCCATTTCTTTAACAATTGCACCTGTTTTGGTCCTTGCACTTGAGTATTTCTTAGCGATTTCACTACTGGGAAACATTTTTCTAAATAAAGCTGCAGCATGATCCGATGCATTCAGTGGCAGGTTGTGCTCCAATAAAAAGGCAGAGAACAGACATTCTGCATTAATAACTTTTTGGTTCTTTGTTTCCGAATAAAAATTTAATTTTTCGTTTTTTTTTCGAAACAACTCATGTTGTCCTTGTGTTTTTGTGTACGCACATGTTTGAAAACAACTGCCCTTCCACCATGTGAAATCGAAACATCGCATCAACAGACGGTACACATCGCAAATTTTTTACATTTCCTTGAGGAAATAATGGAAGAAAAGTCAACTGTGTACGATTTTTTAAACATACACGGGTATTTCACCCTTCTCGCAGACATAACAAAACATGATAATTTCAAAAACTATTTCTCGAAGGCACGTGTACTCACACAAGCCAGGACATGATGAACGAAATAACTAAAGAACATCCAAATAACAGCCTTGAGCTTGCTTTGTGCTCATTGGCTAATATATGCCAGATGACACGCACTGGAGCTCGATGCCCACTGGAGAAAGACGTTTCTGGACACGTATGCTCTCACTCACAGAGCAGAAATTCTCATCTGATTCGCAAGGTTTTGTTTTAGATATAATCTAGAGAAAATTCAATTGCTTTCAGACGTCCAAAATCACTTTTTTTGTTGTTCATATAATGAAGTATTAAGCCAAGTTCCATAAAAATCGTGAGAAATTTTAAGAATATGAAAAATTTGGGAGAAATATATTGTAAATCGGATTGGCGGGAGGGCGGTCGAAAATCGGAAGTCTCCCGCCTACATCGGGAGAGTTGGCAGCTCTGAAATTGTATTATTTTAACTAAACATTATTATAACATTATATTAGTAACATTATTTATAACTGAAATAATTTTGTTGTTCAGTTACATTAACTTTTCAAATATTAATTCTTTTTTATGCATAATTTAGTTCCTTTTATGAATGAGATTTATATGTTTATTTCTTAATGAAGTATTTAGAAAAAAACATTAGTCTTAATAATTATATACATATGCAATGATTGCACAACTTATTTGAAGCATCAATGTAGGAACACTGAGATCTAGAAGCATAGAAATGCTGATTGCGAAGATACTTGATGCTTAGAGCATCCATCCATTTCGAAGAAGAAACAGTCAAGCTAGATTAAATTCCGTATTTATTTAAATTCACATATGTGGCCACAAATCACTTGGCACTCCAATCATGCACTCCAATCAATTTTGATACTATATACATATATAACTCAAATTAGGGGAGAAAAAAGGATTACCTGAAATAATTCATCACACTGTAAAGCTTTACAGGACATTACTACTCCTTGATTGTAGCTAGCTATTCTGCATGCAGTCAGATTCTTATTAGATAATTTTATATTTCTTCCATGGTTTTCATGAAAAGCCATAATACTATAGTTTGTTAAATTAACAGGAGTAGTCTAAAATAAAAAAATATTATCAATATGATTAGAATTGATAAAATATATAGAATAGATTGGTAATTAAAATATATAGAATAGATAATAGAATTGATAGATATAAAATTAGGAAATTTAAATTCAAATAATTTCTAGTATTAAAATGTCAAATAAAGCAAAGTCTATTTTTTAAAAAAATTCTATGAACTCACTACATCCGATTTTTTTTCCACATTCTTTGAATCAACATTTGTTGTAGGCAACACAGGATTTAGATACATTATAATGCTTTCAACAGAGCCATAAATATCTGCAACTACATGCAGTTTCTGCAACCAAAAATAAATTGTAATAACAATGAAAATGCCTACAAAATTAGTATTTATAATCATCATACCAGAAGCATAAAGATCATTTTTAAATTTGACCACCTAAATCACATTTTTACTGATATGAAACACTTGATATATAGTTACAAACACATATTATCATATTAAAGAATCATTCAAAAACAAAATTAAAAATATCCCTAAAAATTTAAGGTTATGGGTACGATGCTCTCACTGATACCATTATAAGTTGTAAATAAAACAAGAAAAAATCAGAGAATTAATGCAAAAAAGCACAAGTTTTCAAGTAGCTATTAAAATTTAATAATGCATATTTTTATATTGTATGATTTCATATAAACATCTTTATTAATTTATGTGCAGGGAAACAGCCATTCTGCGTTTTGCCTAAATTAAATAATTCAACTCAATCTTTAATTTGTGGAGTTCTTTTCTACTGATGAAGTGACATGGCAAAGCTTATGCACAAAAATATGCTAGAAAGGCAATATGAGTTTTTATAGGAAGTAAGAATGCACTTACATTAATTTAACTTTCGTAACTTTCGTAAAGTTAAATTAATGTAATGCACTTACATTAATTTAACTTTATATATTCTTGTAAAGAATATTTTGCAGTGAAAATTTTCAAAACTGTGTGACTTATATTACATGGGTAGTAAAAATTGGAAGACATGAAGACAATAAATAATTAATTCTAGATGTTTTCAAACAATTTTCAAAATAAATAAAGATAAATAATATTAGCATACAGAAATTATAGTGCAGCAGAAAACTAGATATTATATTAAGATCATATAAATACTTAATATTATAGATTTCTAACTAGTCTTTAAAATACTTACAAAATTTTCTCTGAAATTTTAGTTTTACTAAGTATAAATATAAAGAAATCTAATAATATTTTTTTACATTAATAGCACTTCAAATATATTTCCTTAGTGTAGTTTCAATGTTAGTTTTTATAGTTTTAGTTTCAATCAATTTCATCTCTACTATCTCTTAGAGTTTGATTTCTAATATACTTCAGAATTTAAGTATGATTTATTACTTGTTTTCTGCATACAATAATAATCTATTTTGTTATCTTCTTTTCTTTCATAATTTATTATAACATTATTAGTTAACATATATTTCCATTTATTTTGGAAAAAAAAATAAATATTGCTGTTATAAAAAGATGAAGAATATTTCTTTCAAATTAAAAAAAATACGACACAGAAGATTTTATAGATCAATATGATAAAATTTATATTTTTTGAAAATATAAATGAAACTGAGAAATGCATATTCAAGAATCATGAATAATTCTGATAACATCTTATTTCTAACCTGAAAAATCTCATGTAACCATATACAAAGTTCTAAAATTGTTAAAGCGCAAGAAAATGTACTTTGAACAATTAAAAATATCATTGCTAAAAAATTGTCACAATATTAGTTTTTCCTCTTATGCCTGCCTAATTAAAAAATTTTTATAGAGATTTACATACCTTTGGCATATTAATAGCTGCAATACCTAAGTCAACAGCATTAATGAAAAAATGAAGGCTATCATCATAAAATACTTTCACACCAATTCTGTCGCCTGCCTGAGAGAAAACACATTTAAGCTATTATAGGTGTAACATTATAGGTATAAACATTTAAAAATATTATAGGTGCAAACATTTTTAAATATAAACATTAATGGTGGTATTATTATTATTATTATTATTATAAACATTAGATGTGCAAACATTTTTAAAGTCTTTAGATTGCACCTACAAGAATCTATGGGACATTATGAATGCAAATTACAGAACAGAAGTGTATAACAAAGCAAATATGCTATGATATTACATACACGTGGAAGAACAATAAACTTTGAAAGTTAATCACATTTTTATGAAAAAAAAAAAAAATACAACACAATACATCCAATCATATTTTAACACATACTTTATAGTAGTGGTTTTATAACTGCAAGAAAAATAGCCAAGAATGATAACTAGCTTTTATCAAGAATATTTGGTGTTATAATGTAAACTAGGAAAAAAAAAAAAAAAAAAACTGATGTGGACACCACGACTTCTTTTTATCCCCTATTAAATTATCTGCATTTTTTGCTGTACTTTATTTAAACTTATTTCCTCAAATTATTCTCATTTAATTAACCAATTCCTCAAGTTAAGTTGAGAATGACATAAAAAACTACAAATTTTGAAATTAAATATTGTCGTACAACAGTCCTATTTCTTTTATTATTATTATTTTTTTCATAATGAGTATAAAATGTTTCTAAATATAATAAGCATAGGAACAGAAAGACCACATTAAAAATTAGGTTTTATCATTAAGGGGGTGACCTACTTAATAATGAAATCTAACTTTATAACATATATACACACACATTTGGTTCTGCCGACTGCAAAAAAAAAAGGGGGGGAAGTGCACAACTACATGTTATAGCAGCCCCATATACAAAATTTTAGTGTTCTATGGTTAATCATTTTTGAGTTATGCAAGATACATATATCCATAAAATGTCACAAAAAATCCTTTTTGAATCCACTTTAAATCCATTTTGCAAAAACATTCTATATTCTGTCCATATGTACAGATGCCATACAAAAAAGTAGCCCAAATGGATTCAGGAGCAGTCAAAATGGATGTTTCAGTTGTTGTTTCAAGGAAGTCAATAAATACAGAAATTAAATTTTAAAAAGAATACAAATTCCTATCCTTCTTTAGTCATGCATTTAACATTATTCATTTTTTAGGGGGGGTCAAGCTTATCTTGATTTTCTATTTTTCTTTGTCTTGCTATCTTGATATTTTGATTTCTAAAGACTTAATTTTCATCTTACTACTTTTTATGTTTTTCTTACATATTCAAAATAACAACAACAACAACAACAAACAACAAAAAAAAAAAAAAAAAAAAAAGGTTTCATACTTTTACAACACTAGTTAAGAAAACAAAGTTAAGTCAGCAAAAGTTAAGAAAGAATAAAGTTTTTGAAAAACTTGTCTATTAATTAAAATTTTATTCTATCATAATTAAAAAAGAACTAGTTTCAAAGGTTATTTTTAAATGTTCTGGTTACAGTTCTGAATCACAAAGAATTACTTTTTTACCTCAGAGTATCATAACTGGACTACAAGAGACATTCATCAATTACATGAACTTTATAATAAGTAATTTACAGATAATGTTAAAAATATAACTTACTGTAATTCTTGAGAAAAACACAGCATAATTTCTTTTGATTACTACACCATTTTTGTACAAATCAGAATCCAATATTAGCCATGTATCACAGTCAGCAAGATTTAAAGCACTAGGAGGTAACATAAGTTGATTTTTAGGTTCATAAGTTGTGACTCCAAACCTAAAGGAACCTCCCCATTTACTATTAACAGTAAAAATTTGCACCTGAAAATATTTTTTTTAAATTTTAATGATATAAAAAAATTCAGTGAAGCATAAAATAAATTATTTATAATTATTAATAAATTTTTTTCAGAATCTTGAAAGGATTCAGAATTATGCAGTCATGTAAAAAATTGTAATTTGTTTGTTGAAATATATTTAAAAAAAGGGGAAAATATATTAAAAAAAGAAAAGAAAAACTAAGACCAAAATGTGGAAATAAGCATAAATAACTACTTAATTCCATAGATTTCCCCAAAATATGGATATACCAATTTAACTTATTAGCAATTTCTTTCTCTATTTGAAAGTTCACTGACATCTGAATTTAAATCCCATTGAAAAGACTGTTTTCATGTTTAGATGTTTTCATGGTTTTCTCCCTATTTAACATAAATATAAGCCAGTTTTGCATAAAAACCTCAACATAAAGGTATCATTCCACTTAGGCAGACAGTTCTAACATGCTTTTTCCAACCCAAGTAAGTAAGCTTTTTCTGTTCCTCAGATTAACTCATTTTTTTTTTTTAATAGTGCTTACTTTCTTCTTCATTTAGTACCTCAAAAAAAAAAAAAAAATAAATAAAATAAATAATAAATAAATAAATAAATAAATAAATAAAATAAATAAAATAAATAAAAAATAAAAAATAAGAGGCAAAGAGGCCATAATACCCATTTTTCAATCAAAATTAAACAAGGGAAAAAAATCTGAAACATATACATACATTCATACATATACACATGAAATTCTGATATATTTAACAATATTCAATTATAATTAGTTAATAATATTTAATTATAATTAATTAATTAACAACAATAATTCATTATAAATTATTCTGAATACAATTGAAATTTTAACACATATTACATCATAACTGGGGAATGCATCAAATTTTCAAAATATATTTAAATAAAACAATAGTTAATATCTTGAAAAAAATATGTTAAACACAGAAGAGAATGAAATAATAACGTGCATCAGATAAGAAATATATCAGGAAAAACAGACAAATAATAAATTTCTATATTAACAGCAAAGAGTTTTTTTAACATAATTGGTATTTACTAAATTTGCACACACACAGACAGAAACTTTTTTTTGCATATCATTCCAGACGTTCACAGTATTCTAAAAATTTATATGAAACTTCTGCTATTTTAGAATGATTACAAAATAAAAATGTTTTTTTTTTTGTTTGTTTGTTTTTGTTTTTAGAAAAAAAAATATAAAACAAAGTTCTAATATAAAACAGTACTTGAAAAACATGTAAAATAAACAAACTAGTTTAAAACTTTAGTACAGTGTCTCACAAAAGTGATGGGACACTTGTGCTTTACAAAAGGAAACTGTAATAAAATAAATTTAAAAAACATGTAAAATTTTTTGTGGGTGTGTTTCATACTTAAATTTAGTAACAATTATTACATAACATACATTTTCTCAAAATATTAAAATATTAATTTAATAAAAATACAATTGTTTAGAACGGAGCAAAAAATGGCTCACATAAGTGATGGGACACTACATACTATGCAACAAAAAATCGTCTGAAGTAAGCAATAAAAATATCTTTTGGGGTATTTATTTTTACTTAAAAGCAATTGGCAATAATTTATAAAATCGTCTGCAGTATTTCTCTCCAGTTTGTTTTGGAATTTTTGTGTTTTTTAGCTCTGTGCAGCCATGAATGCTAAACGAAAAGAAACTTTGCCTGAAATTCGAAAATTAGTTATTAATTTGCATATTGAACGTGGAAAATCTATTAGAGAAACTGCTGAAACAGTTAACTTGAGTCATTCAACAGTTTTCAATATCATTAAACGATATAAAAAGAATCATATGATTCAGGATAAAAGAAGACCTGGCCGACCATCAAAGCTATCCAATGGAATAAAGCGAATTATCGTTCGAAATATTAAAAAAAATCCAAGAATGAGTGCTCCTAAAGTTGCTGCTGATTTACAAGCATTATATGGAGTAATTGTTAATCCTGAGACTATTAGAAGAGTAATTCGATCTGCTGGATATCACGGTAGAGCAGCCAGGAAAAAATTCTTCGTAAGTGAAAAGAATAGAAAACTCAGACTGGCTTTCGCAAAATCCAACATAAAAATAAGAATTCTGATTACTGGAATGAAGTTATATTTGCTGATGAGAGTAAATTTAATATATTTGGTTCTGACGGTAGAATCTTGGTGTGGAGAAAACCCAGGGAAGAATTTCGCAAACAGAACTTGGTGCCAACAGTAAAACATGGTGGAGGAGGAGTTATGGTATGGGGGTGTATGTCGTCCGCTGGAGTTGGTAATCTTGTTTTTATTGACAGTATAATGGATCAGTACAAGTATATTGACATTTTAAATCAAAATTTGAAATCTTCAGCACGAAAATTGAACCTTCATAACGATTTTAAATTCTACCAGGACAATGACCCCAAGCACACTGCTTTGAACGTTAGACTCTGGCTGCTGTATAACTGTCCTGAAATAATAAAAACACCACCACAATCTCCAGACTTAAATCCCATAGAGAATATTTGGCAAGAATTGGAATCAAGAATTCGCAAACACACCATTTCTTCAAAACAACAATTAAAATCGGTGCTTCAAGAAGAATGGGGTAAAATCACTCCAGAAATCACAAAAAAATTAGTCGAATCCATCCCAAGAAGATTAAATCATGTTTTAAAAGTAAAAGGAAATCCAACAAAATATTAAAACCTTTTAAAAAGTAAAATTTTTGGATAAATATTTAATGGAAAAGTAAGTGTTCCATCACTTATGTGAGCCATTTTTTGCTCCGTTCTAAAGAATTGTTTAAATTAATATTTTAATATTTTGAGAAAATGTATGTTATGTAATAATTGTTACTAAATTTAAGTATGAAATACACCCACAAAAAATTTTACATGTTTTTTAAATTTATTTTATTGCAGTTTCCTTTTGTAAAGCACAAGTGTCCCATCACTTTTGTGAAACACTGTATGTTATATAAATAATGACAAAACCATTTCAACAGAATGTGAATTAAATTCATTAAAGAAAGTTATGTTCTCATTTAACTCTAATATTCATATAGTCAGCAGGAGCTGCACTAGTTTCTAAACAAGGAGGAAATACTTATTTTTCATATAGATTTATCTTTAAATATATCAATTATAAGATTTTTCAAAAGATTTTGAAAAATAGTTTGTATATTAAGCTAATGTTCATTGTTATCTGCATTTCTTTTCAAATTATTTAAACTGGTAAAACACGAAATGTCAATTCATTATGATTAGACAAGCTACAAAATAAGATACATAAGTAGTAGCTTGAAGATAATTAGCTACAATGTCATCATTACTAGAATCAATGTAATTTATTAAATACACTGGAGAGCCAAAAAAACTTGTATAGGCATACATATGGCAAATAACAGAGGTATGGAACCAACCACGATAAAGCATGGCAGTTGGCAGCGCCTATATTAAGACAACAAGTGTCTGGCAGTTATTAGATCGGTTATTACTGCTACAATGGCAAGTTATCAAGATTTAGGTGAGTCTGAATGTGGTGTTATAGTCGGTGAACAAGAGATGGGACATAGCATCTCTGAGGTAGGAATGAAATTTGGATTTTCATGTATAACCATTTCACAGTGAACATCAGAAATCCAGTAAAACAAATCTTTGATATTGCTGTGGCTGGAAAAAGCTCATGAAACCAGTGACGACTGATAAGAATACAAAATTTGATTTTCATGTACTACCATTTCACAAGTGTACTGTGAACATCAGGAATCCAGTAAAACAAATCACTGTGGCTCAAAAACACTCATGAAACCAATTATGACTGATGAAACCAATGACGATTGATGAGAATCATTGAGTTCAGGACCAATAACGATTGATGAGAATCATTAAATGTGACAGACGTGCAATTCTTCCTCAAATTGCTGCAGATTTCAATGCTGGGGCATCAACAAGTGCTAGCATGTGAAATATTCAATGGACCATCATCAATATGGGCTTTCAAAGCTGAAAGTTCACTCATGCACTGTTGTTGACTGCACAACACAAAGCTTTATGCCTTGTCTGGGCCCAACAACATCACTAATGGACTGTTGATGACAGGAAACACATTGCCTGGTCTGACGAGTCTTGTTTTCAATTGTATCAGGTGGATGGCATGCACGGGTATGAAAACAAACTCATGAGTCCATGGGCCTTATATGTCAATAGGGGGCTGTTACAGCTGCTGTGTCTTGGTACGGGGCATGTGCATTTGGCATGATAGGTGACCCCTGATATGTCTAGACACAAATCTGTCAGATGGCAGATACATCCTGTCCGATCACCTGCACCCATTCATGTGCATTGTGCATTCCGAAAGACTTAAATATTTCCAGCAGGACAAAGCAACACCCCACACATCAAGAGTTGCTACTGAATGGCTCCAAGAACACACTTCTTTAGACACATTTACTAGCCACCTAGATCCCCAGACATACACATTATTGATCATATATTGGATGCCTTGCAATGTGCTGTTCAGAAGAGAACTCTACCAACTCATACTCTTGTGGATTTATGGATTGCCCTGCAGGATTCGTGGTCTGAATTACCTCCAGCACACCTTCAGACATTTGTTGAGTCCATGCCCCGTCATGCTGCAACACTTCTGCATGCTCGCTGAGAACCTACATGATATTAGGCCAGGTGTACCATTTCTTTTGGTTCTTCAGTGTATACGATATCAATCACTATCTTTAAAAAATAATTCTGATAAAAATGCTCGCATTATAAGAACAGAAATCAATTACATAATTTATATATCTTTATACTTTTCCAGTAAGACATACTCTCAATGATTTCCTAATTAATAAAATAATTTTCAAGAAGCTAATACACAGTGGAATCTTTGCTCATAAGTGCTTCTCATCCATTAACAAACTGGTTCACAAAAATTTTTTTTTAAACAAAAGATGTCTCAGAAGATGAGCAGTTTATAATTAT